AAGATTGTATGGATGTGCTATTTTCATATGTCAGATCATTTATGTCAGATCGGAAGTTATGTCCATTCGGAACCGACGTATAATGAGATTCCTGGTTATATCCCTGGGATTGCTATGTTGTTAGGCGGGTTATTGGTGCCCGCAAAAAAATTCGAGCTAACGGAGAAAACATGGTTTCGATCCTTAAAATCACGTTGCCTCCTAAATTAATATAATAAGCATCCGTATTGGTAACTAAGTATGAAAGGAGCCGATGAATTTCATTCTGTCTGTTTTAATTAACTGACTGTTCCCCGCCGTCACCGGATATTAGATAAATCTTACCTTGTAATATTTGAAAGTGAGTATTATTGGAAGAAAATCTAGCGTGATATGAGATTTAAGAAAGAGTAAGTAACGCTGAGAAACTTTTAAATAACAAAACGCGTATTATTTGATAATAAATCACCAGACTTCAATCCCACGAAACTCCGACAAAGCGAAGAACATGGTTTGTATAAAAAAGGTTGTGACTATATAGAGGAATTGGTTCCAAATGGTGTGCTTATAAAGATAATTTTATATAATGTGCTTGTGACTATAAGGAGAATTGACCGTATCTAGCCATTCTATTTATATTAATTTTGACATAGCCTCTATATAGCACAGAATCGTCATGACTGAATTTTATTTATAGATTAAACAAATGACTTACGCATTGTCTGGTAACTTATAGCTTCCCCAAGAATTGCTTATGATGCGACTATTCTCTACTGTATTGTAAAGTTCCACCAAAAATAGCTCACACGGATATTATTTAACCCCTATTTACTGTATTATAGTAAAACCGTTATTGTAAAAGAGTATTATTATGATAATTGTGAAAATTTATTGATAAGCCTAGCAACGCGATTGTTCTAAATTACCTAATGAGGTGCTAAGGAGTTAAATAATAATAATGGATAATAGTTGTGATTTGTCATGGTGTCAAGCGCCTCAGATGTTTCCCTTGATTTAATAAGTCTATTACTATTCTTTTTATCCGCGCACCCCAACTGTGACATTATTTATCATGCAATAGCGCACTTTATTAAATAACAATCAATTGACGTGATTATTTGATACCAAGTCTATTTGAAAACAAAGATGGCGTAAGGGTAAGCCTTGAGTGTATACAGTACATGATTGGTGCGTATGAATTGATATCGTATATGATAATAATTGCGATGATAGCGTTACGGCGTTTATCTTTAGATAAATGATTGGTACATAATGTACTATATTGCTGGATATCAATAACATTGTATTTAAGAAACACATAATTCATTAATCGATGTATTGCAATATGTTGTTATGTTCGGCCTGGGAGAGCGTTTGTGTTTAAATTGACCGGGGGGTATTCTCTTGCTTGCACGCTCGCGTTAATTAAAGCGTAGCTAAAATTTGCAGGCGGCTCTTTATACTTCCTATTGCTAAAATATCAACTCTAACTCGAATGTTGTGCTGACCATTTACTTATATTGCACCGATAATCGAACTATTCTCTCTCTGTCTGGTCTGATACTCCAGCGTCCACTGCTCCAGTTAGATATTAATCCAACTTCCGTAAGCTGGCCTAACGGCAATAGACACTTCCGTACAGCAACAACGACGCACAAGAATAGAAATATTATTAGAAACAACAACTATAAAAGGGCAATAAAATATTCGACGTGTCAATTAAGGAATTCCTTATACTCGTTCTCAGCCGCTCCTAGTGAATGAGTCCAATCAAAAATCGTAGACGATAATTTAATTAATTTCACTACCGATCGTAGTATTTTATTTAATAATAATTATTTCTTCAATGAACTATAGGAACATCCAAACACCCATTAAACACACTCTCTGCCTTTCGAAGCAGGTGAGGCGCACTTTTTGGACCCTGTCACAAATAGAAGCCCAACTTGGTCAATTGTATAAGACCGGCCGTAATGGACTGGTACAATTAAAAAAAAACCAATTATTTTTCTTGATCAAAGGCGTCTATAAAGGTGTGTATATTCTGATGAGATTCGCACCTACCTCCCTTTAACTTACCAGTGATGATTTAGTGGAAATTTTTAAATCAAAAAAAGTACATGTAGATGTTTATTTTTCTTATTAAATATTTGAATGTAATTGATGGAAAATCTGCTTACAGATTAAACCATCTAACTAACGATCTTAGTCTTATGCTATATATTAGTTGTACATCCTTTGCTGACTAAACACCAGTCCGTCGTGACTAAAGTAAGCCCTGCGGATGGATGTAAGCGCGTTTGTTAAATGACATTCATAGTAATAGTCTGGGTCTGATTCTACTGCTACATGTTTAACAAGCTTAACCATAGCACTCTTGGTTACTTTATCAGCTATATCTATATCTAACATTACATAACTAAGAAAGTGGTTTAAATTCCTATCTAATTCTATTCTAGGTAATCCATGATAGTCGGGGATTCCTGGGTCGGTCTTATCCGCTGTTGAGTCTTCAGGAGTGAAACCCAATTGAGCTGGGGATCCGAGGGAAGATATACCTTGATTCACGAGGTGAAAAATCGATTTCAGTCTCTGAGTGATCGTAGATGCGTAGTACGTATAACACGAGCGTCCGAATTCTATGAACCGTTGTTTACTTAAAAATTCGGTGTAATGATGTAAACCGCTGGCGTTCAGCAGTTGTATTGGTGTTAATTCGCCAACTACGGAATCGCGAAACGTCGTATCTAAACGTTGCAGTTCAGTGTCTGGATGCTCTAGCCAATCAAGGTCAACTAGCAAAAGAACTCCGACTCGGCCGATATTCTCAGCGTGCGGGTGCACCTGTCCGTCTAATTCACCAAGCCATTCAATTATCGCCTGCTTTGTGTGCATCGTGGGCAGGGGTGGATAACCAAAATAGACTTGATTTTCTCCAACTTTAACTGTGAAGCTATTTGCCATTTTCTTTTCTAGCAAAGTTTCAGCTAGGGAGTGAATTTTCTCAACAGATCCTTTGTCGTCGAAAAAGATCTCGTCGAACTTGTTAAGAGGTATATTATCTAAGTTGTCAAACTTGGCCTGTTCGTCGTCGGTGAGAAGGACGAATTCTTCGTTAAAGTCATCGTTTGCCTTGAAGTAACGGATAGCTTTGAGAATGAAGCGTTTGATGGAACCTGGATTATCTTTAATTCTAATAACCCAATCCCGATAGTCTATTTTTCCAATCAGGTCTATTATCGTAAGGAACGAGCGCGGGACCGAGAGCTGGAACTCCTTGAAGCTTTGGAACGTTGCGATTTGCGGTAACTCACTGGCGGGAGTCGCCTGAATGAGTTTTGAGGCGGTGGATAAGCATAATCCGCCGGCTAAACCTCGAGTGAGGTATTCTAAATCTAAGGGCTGAGCGTTGCGATCGAAGAAGCCTTTCGACTCTTGGTATACCTTTATTGTGCCGCGGAAGTCATTGGCTACAATTTCTGTAAATCCATGATTTAATTCAACTTTAGCGTTTCCCCTTACGGGAGCTGTGAATCCGAGAAACTTGGCATCAAGCTGAACTGGTGGGACGTCCGGACGTATGTCCTGGCGAGCGCGATTGGCGTTTCGAGCGTTATATCTGCGACCACGTTGGTTTTGTGGCGCACGGTTTGGTTGAGGGTCCTGGGTTGCCATAGTTTTAGGCGAATCAAGAACAAAACCAAATAGAGGAACTGGGGTAGGTAGTGTGTGTGTCAGTTAATCAAAGAGGGTAAGCTGATTGACATCTTGTAATGCTGTTATGTTTAACCAGCTGTTATTGAGGTGCAATACGGTTAGTACTGTGATGAACGATGACGTATCTCTCCTGAATTTTCGGACGATACATCAACGCAACTGCGGAAATAGCAGCACACATACCAGACTCTGGAGCTTCATGATAAACTAGTTGCAATCATAGATAGAAAGCAGGCAGAGGTCAAACCGTAGAGAGTATAAATAGAAAGCATTAGTAGAAGATCAGTAATAATAAATAGAAAATGTACAACAGAATACAATGAATTCGTGTTCTAGAAAACTGTATACAGTATATAATATACACACTACAACGAGAAATGCAGTGTCTTTCGAACGCAGTTGGATGAATGAATATGGATGTGGATGTGGAAGAATAAGAATGTAAAGCACTTTACCGGTTCGTCTAATTATTCTATCAATCTCTTTCATAATACGAGTAACGAGTCCGACAGTAGCCATTACACAGGCAAACTCGATAAGTCGGTCATGTATGATGGACCGACTTATCGAGAGAACCGACTTATCGAGAGATTTTA